ATTAATAATATTGAGTAAGCATTTGCTCCCTACTAGGGTCATGATTTAACATAGCACATGTATTATTTTATGTAATTTAATGGCATGACTTAAATACTGCTGTTATCCCAATCTTACAGTGAAGAAGGCGAGGCTTGAAAAGGCTAAGTACCTTGTCTAAAATAATATTGCTCTACTAGATCAGCTTTTCTTGTTATTTTTTATATTCTTTAGAACAATACACACGTACTAAAATAAAAAATAATCCAATTCAAAGTCTGAATTTTTGTACCAGATTTAATTCTGATTTGATTTTTAGATAATAGATGTAAGTCTTGAGCATGACCCCTCAGTGATTAGAGTTGAAATTTCAGCAGGTTTTTCTGGTTAAGCTTTGACAGCTCTGCAAACTTAAATGACTATAATAATTAGAACATTGTATCTTGAGACAAAAATGAATGTTTATTTTTCTAAAAGACAATTAGAGAGTAGACCCTCAGGTTTTACAATCTAACTACAAAGGCATGTACCCCTCAGTAAAATAGCAAAATAATTAATGGTAACATCTCTGACCTACACAAGTTCATTTTCTGCAAACTCAAGAAAATGAAATGCCTAGAGCATGACTTTAATCTAATCTTGATTTTTAACCTTATATTATGCATATTGATATCAGTTCTTAAAAGAGCTCCTTTTAGAATTCAAAAGTATGCGTTTTTGCTTGTAGTTTTCTTTCATTAAGATTTTTCTCATTATAGAAACTTTGTTCCTTCTTTTTCTTTTTGAAACCAAAGTTCTAAATTAGTTTTCTTAGTAGATTTTAATTATGACCCTATTATAGTAGATACATAGCATAATATATGTTTAGAGAGATAATTATGACAGTTAATATGATTATAAGCAGAATTATTAAAGTGAAATAGGATTAATTGATGTGTTCGTTGTAATAACAAGCTTAAAGGGGTCTGTTAATTAAAGATATACTACATACTGGAATATTGATATACTTTGTGGATTTGCAGGGAAATAGAAAGTCTTTAAAAGTTTGAAGTCTTTAAAAGTAGACTTAAATTTAAATACATAGTAGTGTATTACTCTTTAAAGAAAATCCTATAGTAGATCTTCTTTGTAAAATACAGAATATTTTTTTGTGTGTGTGTGATTTAAGGAATTAAGGTATAACAGAGTTTTAGATGTATCTTTAGTAGTTACTGGGTATCTGCTGCTAAGCAAGAGATTCCCCTAAGAAATTCAAAAGTATTTAGGAGTTATAATTTTAAACTATGAAGAAGTTATGTTCATTTTGTCAGACTTGTAATTCAAAGTATATCAGTATGATTTCTGAAATATTCCCCCCATCCATAATATTCTCTTTTCTCTTTTTTTAATCTTGTTTATTATCTATAATTTTGGTGAGATTTATCTATCGTCTACCATGTACTAAGCTGGACTTAGCAGATGAGGGTTCATATAGTAACAAATAAATGTTTTTCTACTCAAAAGAACTCACATTAATTGAAGAGAACCTACATATAGGTAAATAATATTTAAAAAAAAAAAAAACATGAAGGAATCTGTCCTTTTAAGATATTTGAACAGAAAAAAAAAAGGCACATAGCTGAATAGTTCCCAGGTTTAGAAGGGGGAGCTGGTAAGGAACTCCCAACTAGCCCCATGCCATATCCCTCAGTGGCCATTTTTCTCTGAGAAAATCAATGTTTGAGAACAAAATAAATAATCTAGACTTTGTCCCACCTAGTCATAAAAGGTATAAATGATGTGTACAGTTTGAGTATCATTTCTTCTGTTATCAATGCTGACAGACTAACAATGTTTTATTGACTCTAAATGGATATTTATAAATGGCTAGAAAAAAATACAGAGGCACACATAGCCAAGTCTATTTGGTAACACTAGGCAATTTCAAATGTAACCTGAATAGCCTCTGATTGAGGTGCCTTAGTACTGCTGCTATTGAGAGCCTTGCCATTTATAGGAAGATTAATGTCTTATTCATTGTTGACTTTTCTCTGTGATCCTCCAAACCTTGGAGTTGTCCAGTGCGGTCCAATCTTCCTCCTTGATTTGCACCTGAAACTTCCAGGTGGATTTTTCTTAAAATGAAATTATAGCCATAGAAATACTTGTGTCATTTAACCCAGCCTCCTCTGACTCATTCAATGATTCATTCATTTTGCTCAGCAAGAATCTATCATGTGCCTACTCTATGTCAAGCACTGGGCTGTGTGCTGACTATGCAGGGTGACAGAGCAGTTGTCAAGTGTTTATATCTACTAAAGCACACATATTAGAGAAGTCCATACATACATACAAAAGTGCAATTCTGACAAGTTCTGCAAAGGACAGTTCCAGTATTGGGGGAACTTACTCTAATCAGGAAAGTCCACAAAGTCTTTTCTGAGGAAGTGATAAGTAAGCTGAGACATTCAGACCAAGAAGGAAAGGAAAAGCTTTCTATCCCTGGGAAAGAGCATGTATAAAAACCCTCATAGGCAGCAGGAACTGAGAAGGCCAGTTTGTGGAGAGAGCACAAAATGAGAGGTGTACGTTTTTGTATGTTAGAAGCATGCAGGTTTTTACAGGTGATGTTGATGTCTTTCTCCTTAATTCTTCTGCAGGAAAGCCACTGAAGAACTTTAAATGAAGTAAGGGAAATGATTCAATTAGATTTATGTTTTTATGAGACCTCTCTGACTGCATTTTGGAGGAAGAAGGGAACAGGGCACCAGAGAGGACATAGTTAATCACTTGAGCAATTTTGTGATCATCCAGGAACAGGAGAATGGTCACTTGGATGTTGGTGCTGGTGGAAGAGTTGAAGAGAAGTGGTTTGGAACTGGATATGAAAATGGGATGGCTTGTGGTACCTTTCCTTAGAGCAGATTTCAGGAAGTGGTCAGGGAGGCTACTGGATATGCATGCAGCTCAGAAGAGAGGACTAGGCTAAGAAATGCACATTAGGGAGTCATTTGATGTCTGAATCTGCCTCACAGTATCCAAAAGAGCTATCCAGACATCTGCTTGAATACCTTCAAAATGACAGAAAATTCACCACCATAGCCAAACATGTTTAGAGAAAGACGTTCCTTATGTTGGACTAAAAGCTTTCTGAAATAAATTCTACTCATTAGTTCTGATTCTGCCTATTACACCTGGAACTTCTCTTCTACCTAATTAGGGTTCTAGGAATTGAATAACACTGACATGGTACCTCCCTGTTCACAACTTCAACATCCATGTCAGGTCTTCTGTCCAGCAAAATTTCAGTTTAATTCAGCAGACTTTCCCCTACCCATCTTGTCAGCTTGGTCTATTACAAACACAAAAACAGATTCCGCCCCCCCCAAAAAACACCCATATATCCACACACATTACTTCCACTCAGGCAAAATACAGTAAACTTCTATAAGTTGACCACCCAAGCGACTGTAACAAACTTGTCAACACATGGAGGTGGTCAACATAAGGACGTAGGCCTGGTGTACTGATACATCCATGTGGTGCATATCTGGTCTGTGAAAATTAGATCAACTTAAGGAGGTGGCCAATGTAGGGAGGCAGTCAATTATCCTACCTGCTCTATTAGAGAAGGCTAATTGCAGTCACAAAAAACAGTGTAGTCTGGAGTTCTTAGACAGCTTTCCATGTGATCATTCAGAGACTTTTCATTGAGTTGTTCTCCTGAAAGCCTTAAAGTCCTGCATCTTGTGAGGAAGGGAGAGAAGGGAGTGCATGGGGAATTCTACAGGTGGCTTAGGGGCCATGAAGTGGCTTATACTTCTCACATTCCATTAGCCAGAACTCAGGCCCATGACCCTATATGATGGAAGTGTTCAAAAATTTAAGTTAGGCTCAGCTCCTGTGGCTCAAGTGGCTAAGGCACTGGCCACATACACCTAAGGTGGTGAGTTTGAATCCAGCCCAGGCCGCCAAACAACAATGACAGCTGCAACCAAAAAATAGCAGGGCATTGTGGCGGGTGCCTGTGGTCCCAGCTACTTGGGAGGCTGAAACAGGAGACTCGCTTAAGCCCAGGAGTTGGAGGTTGCTGTGAGCTATGATGCCATGGCACTCTACCCAGGGGTACAGCTTGAGGCTCTGTCTAAAAAAAAAAAAAAAAAACGTTAAGTTAGCTGTGTGTGCAGAAAGAAAAACAGCATGATGATGAACATGCCTGCCCTATTCTGAAGATAACACCCATTTGCTCTCTTTCAAAAAGATTCCCTGTTACCTACCAAATTTAGCATAGGCTTTTGACATTTTAAGGCTCTTTTCAACATGGCTATAGCCTCTTCTCCCAGCTAAGCTGATCATTTCCTTACCCTTAAACATACCTTTCCCTTTCCCTCCTCCATGCCTTCACTCAGGCATTTTCTTCTGCCTAGAATACCCTACATCTCTTATTCTTGAAATCTTATCAGTCATTCAAGATCCATTAAGAGATCATTTATTCTTCATCCCTACAGGTCTGTCTTATGTTAGTGACCTGTTTACTTATTACACCCCCCCCAACTCCTGACTCCCTGGGAGCAAGCATGTCATATCCATGTTGTGTCACTGACAACTGCTAGGAAATGCCTGCCACAGTACTCAGTTAAATATTTCTTCAGTTGAGTTGATTAATTATATTTAAATTATTTACATAAAGAGAAAATTTGTTTTTTAGATCTTATTTCTCTTCTCTCGCTCTCTCTTTTTTTTTTTTTTATGTTTGTGGTAGTAATTCTCAAATGACGTTAAGTATAGAAATTACCTGGGAGAACTTATAAAAAGTATTTTGTTCCCTCCTTCAAGATCCGGCTCCTTCTTAGAGATTCTAATTCTACAGATCTGACAGTTTTGATGGTGGGTCCCAGTATCTGCAGTTTTTAGTTAGTGCTGGGGTGGGGGGTATGATTTGGGTCATATGGCACTTGCACTACACTTTCAGAAATACTGCAACATGGCATTTTCCATTGTACCCATTAATGGACTATTACTACCTTCCTTTAACAAAACAGATCAGTTCATTAACAGGGGAACAAGTAGTGTGAGAAATAGTAAAAATCAAGATGTTTGTCATATCGCCTTTGGATCCAGAGTTCTTGGACCACCTCCACTGTCTGGCAGAAGGAATAACATAAGGATATCCAGTGAGGTAAGCACAGGTTTAATGAGCTTACCTAAGTGTCAGTGACATGGTAAGGGAAGGGTTTCTTCTCTTTGTGGGATGGGAAAGGGAGAGAGAGAAAGTGAGACGGCATACCAAATAAGGCTTGAGTAAGTTTGGGCCAGAAATTCGGGATTTTAAAAGACATCAAAACTGTTTCCTTTTTGTCATGTAAACATAATTAACATTATGTAAATGTTAATTATGTTCATAAATATGGTCATAAAAACTTATAGGCAAATATACACAAGAATATTTTGCCATCTTCTTCGAAAGACGAGTTGGATCATACCTTACAATGAACAGTTCTCTAATGTTATGTTTTTTATTTTTAATTTCCTCTAAATTTCTTACATACACAGTGATTTTTAACTCAGCTGCTACCTAATAAAAATAGAGTGTAGCAAATAAACACATTCATTTATGTGTTTAGAAGACTTGTTTGTCTTCTATTTTATGTCATTATTTTTCTCCTTCTACTTCTAATTTCCCATTCCATCACCTTTTAACCTTATTTCCTCTAGTTTTTTTCTCTCGCCCTTTATCTGTCCAAATCTTACTTTTCCTATGTAGTTTCTATAGGAAGTAAATACATTTCCTATATATTTAAATGTACAAATTAATTCCTTTTTCTTACAGACAATTAAACCTATTGGGTCCAAAAACAACCGGTCGTGCCAGCAATTCACTGTACAAAAATGCGTAAGCAGTACAGAAATGTCAGCCTTGCTGATATCTGAGGAGCAAGGAAGTAAAGAAAATAGTCACCAAATAAAGCAGACTATACCTATTCATGGTAAGAAAAAAATTATGCATTAAGATTGCTAGCTAGTGAATATAGTGAGAAATGTTAACATTTATCAGCAGTTATGTTCATGTCTAGATCTCAAGTCCAGAGAATTATCATTCCATAATGAAAAGGGTGGAAGATTTTGAAACATATTTAGGATTCTTAGATGTCCATTATCATCTGGAACCCATCATTCTATTTACCACATTATTTCAAATTGCTGGGATACTGCCTGTTTTTACTTTATGATAACCTGTGTTAAGAAAGAAATAGCATCCTATTATCCGTGTATTTTATGTGCATTTTTAAGTTTTCCTAGCTTTTTTAGCTTAATTTTATGTTCGAACTAATCTCTTCTATTTGTAAAATATTTTCTTCTCTCTCATCAATACAAAAACAACCCTGTGAACAAAGAAAGGACTTCTGTCCCATTTTTCAGATACAGATTTCAAGGCTAACAAAGAGTGATCTGCAGATTTGCAGTTTGGAATCATTAAAAAGAATTGATACCAGAACCCAGGGCTTACAATTCCCTGTCACTTTTTCACCCTTAGTAATATGACTTTGGTGGAAAAGGGAGGCATTTGAGTTCATTTTATTTGATTTAAAAATTAATAATCACTATTACAGACAATAACCCCCATTGGAGTATAAAACTGAGATAAGAAAATGAATAACATAGCTGTAAGTTCAAGTTCTACCACTGACTATCTGTGAGGCCTTCACAGTTAGTGAAACCCAGTTTCCTCCTCTGTAAAATGGGAATACCATTACTACTGGCACTGGTGTACTAGTCATAAGTAACTGCCTCAAAGGGTCATCGTGAGAATTCAATGAGAGGGAAACAGTTAATGTATCATATTGTACTAAGAAATCAAGCATTCAGTAAATCCTAGATGCTGCTGTGAATGTTATTATTACATTATTAAATTATACTTAAAAACTCTTCCCAAGGCTTGACCTCAGTTTTCCAGGATTCCTTTAAAGACTGCATTAATGTACACAGCTATGATTTAATAAAAAAAATTTTAAAAAAAAAACTGCTCTCGGCTCGGCGCCTATAGCTCAACCGGCTAAGGCGCCAGCCACGTACACCTAAGGTGGCGGGTTCGAATCCCCAGCCCAGACCCGCCAAACAACAATGACGGCTGCAACCAAAAAATAGCCGGGCGTTGTGGCGGGCGCCTGTGGTCCCAGCTACTTGGGAGGCGGAGGCAGGAGACTCGCTTGAGCCCAGGAGTTGGAGGTTGCTGTGAGCTGTAATGCCACGGCACTCTACCCAGGGGGACAGCTTGAGGCTCTGTCAAAAAAAAAAAAAAACTGCTCTCTAAGTATGGCTAGCTGCACTTCCTCTTTTAAAGAAAGAAGTAATTTTTCTGTATTGGCTATCAATTTCTTTTTTTATGTATCCTTTAATACAGCATATGGCATGATTAACAGTAATCAAATTACTTGTTCTCTATAAGGCTTTATTACATGAATAAAATATATCAGCAATTTTAAAAACCTACTAGGATCCTAATATTGGAATAGGAATAAATGTCTATATTCTATGAAGGCATAAGTTATGTTTTTGATATAGCTTCATGTTATGTCAAAATGATACATGAATATTCTCATTTTAGCGATAATTATATTTACTTCAAGCCATATAGTACTTTCTGTTCTGGCTTTTATTCTTTGATATGAAAATGTACCAGCCAATCTACATATTATGCATCCGCATCCCCCTCAAGAACCATCAGCAGATAAGAATAATAACAGAAGAAGATTACGGTTAAAAAGCACCAGCAGAGAAAGGACAGAGACACCCAGCGGTATGGTACTATTTCAATACTATCTTACATCTGTCTATTACACAGGGCAATGGGATCTCTCTCTGCAGGTTGTAAATTTCAAAAGATTATGAACCAATTCATTTAAAATATAAATGTCTGTTCTACGGGGATTATGGAAATCAAATTTTCTGTAGAAAAATTGCTCTAGAGCCCTAACAGAGATTTGCTGGATTAAGTAGACAGTACCATAGAAATAAAGGACTTCCTACTTTCAGAAAATCTCAAAGGCTAAATAAGCTTAAATTATTGTTTCTTAAAATGTGATAGAGGAAGTTTTTGCCTGTAGACTTTACTAAAATTGAATTTTATTATAATTTTTCATGTTTCATTTAAGTTTTTTCTTTTTAAATTGGGTTCTTTTCAGATTGTTGTTTACATTTATGATCTCTTTGGATTCTTTGCCATGTGATATGATATGATATAGGTAAAAATTTAAACTCTTTGCAATCAGTAAAGCATTAGACAAATATAGATAGCTGTTATAGTTATTTCTACAAATATTGGTTGGAATCATACATATATACAGATTTAGATACATATATATTAGTCTATCCTGAATTCACCCCAAAGTATGTCATATACACATCCATTATTGTGATCTCTCAAAAATGTAAGCTTCCTAGCTTGGCTAAAATTCAGCCTACTAGGTTTCATGTTATTTTTATAAAAGAGTAAATAGAAAAATTAATTCTTCAATAATGCCTACATCCATTTTTTTTTATGGTGGTGGAGTACAGAGCATTCAATAAGAATTATAATTTAAAGAAAACATACTTTTCATTTATGTGAAAACCAAAGAAACCCTTTAAAAATCATATGGATTTGGGAATTCTTTTTATCACATATTATAAAACTTAAATCTGAAATGTCTTCATGAAAACATCAAAGAATTTTAAGGTGAATCTCTACAAAAATACAGCTGAGTTTGTCTTAAAACATTCTGCTGAAAAAGAAAAAAACATATAAATCATCTTGTTAATTTTAATTTGCTTTTAAATACTTAAAGACAGAAGTATACCAAATTAAACCATACTTTAAAAATTACTTTTATAAAATTCAAAAGAAGTAACAGAATGGAAAATATTTATTTTAATAAAGGGAATTCTTCAAAAAATAATAACAATGAAGACAAAGCAACAACAGTCCTCACCACTGGGTCCCAGCAAGGAAGGGAGACGTTGAACTCCAGCACTCTAGAACCCCAGTCTTCTGATCAAGCAGGTTGGCGTCTTTATTATGTCATATTTTTCAATACTTAATAAAATATAAATATGCCAAATATTTCAAATCCAGTCATTTTGAAAAGCTGCAAAGCAACCATTTGCTAAAACTGACAAATTTTTGTAAATCTCCCTATTTAGCTTCAATTTTATGTCAAACTTTAATGGATGAAAGAGTATTTTTATTTTAAAATTTAATGCACTGGTTGTCCTGTTCAGAGTGGAAAGTTTAAAACTTGAGGTTTTCCCCTGACACTGTGACAATCCCCAAAGATGATCTATTGTTGCATTTCTTCGGTCCTCTTTAGAATGGAGATGATTGGAGCTGAGAGCATTGAACCCATCAACATATCTTGCCTAGCAGGTGTGTGCTACTTTTACAAAGGCAAATTGTTTTTGAGCAAGGGAAAAAGGAAAATAAATGAAAATTGTTTGTAGTTTGTCAGTCTTATTTATGCAATGTTGAAACCTTCATTAAAATGTTAGGCGCAATTAGTGTCTCTAGCATAAATCTGACTGTGTAGAAAAACTAATTAGATGTTTAGGTGATCATTCTTGCATTTATCTTGTTTGCTGCAATATTGTGATTACACAGTAATTTACATATTTTCCTAGGAAAACACACCAAATTATTCATTACAATTGATATGGAAATACTTGAGGTAAAACTACAAATTCAAAAAAAGCATGTGGTAGTGAGATAATTAGAGTTAGTTTGGTGTAAAACATTCCTTTTACTTTTACTTTTTGACAATTGATAATATGTCTGGCAATAGGTCATACCAATTGTTAAAGTGCATAATGACAATTTCCAGTACCTTTTCCTCCAAATTTCTTCACATATCCACACACCTGATGTAATTCATTGGCCTTTGTAACCTTTCACAGCATTTTTAGAGCACCTACTGTGTTTAAAAGCACCCATTATGTGTCCAGCACCAAGTAAAAGTGTTTGCTGGCCACAACAGGTGGGCCCAATGGATCTGTTTAGTTCACTGGCCCACAGCTACAGTGACTTAGAACCATCTATCTATGGAGTCTGTCCCTCTGTTCATTATTTCAGAATCTAAATAATGAAAGCTTTGCCCCTCATAGATTTTCTCTAAGTAAGACACCTTTCACCCTTCTTACAAACAAGTTATGTTTTATAATGGTAGTCTTAAGTTAAGAAACAGTTAAATACAATTGTGAAACATTTTATTTGTGCCATCAATGTTATTTTTATTAAAGACATTTATTGTTTTTGTTTTGCTTTTGCAGTATAGGCTTTGGATTTAGCAAACCTTAGATCTCTCTTGATTACTATTACTGTGATCATAAATGTAACAAGATTAACAAAAATAAAGATAAAATCACCATGTTCAGATTGTGGTTCTACAGAACAGTCCTTGCAAAATTTGGCCATTAAAATGATACCACAAAAAAAGTAAACTTCAAACATAATAGACTAGATTGAGAAAGTACTCAACTTTTCCCTGTATCATTCTAAAGAAAGTAAGCATGCTTTTAATGATACCATTATAAAGATCTGTCCTTTCCAATTTGCCAGGATCATAGAGTAATAAAATCTATCTCGTTATGGTATAAAAGATTGATGTCTTAAAATATTATAAAAATATATCTCAGTGGAAATATACAATATTTCTAAAGAAAACAAATAAAGTTAAAAAAGATTTTCTTGTCAAAACATCGTCTTCTAAACTTAAAGATCCTTTTCACCCAACAGAATCTACCAATTAACAAATTTTTTTGTGGATTTACTATGACCTGAAAAGTCTTCTCAGTTTAGTCTATGAATTATCCTGTTTCAATCAGTAGAATAGAGAAGAAAAGACTGTCAACCTTTTTTCATGGTTTCCCCTCCTCCATGATTTATAATACAAAAAATGACCAGATATTTTGTTTAAAGAGGCTGATTAAGTACGCTGTCCTCCTGCAGTTAAAAAAAGATAGTACTAGTAACTCAAACCCTTTTAAATTTGGAAGATTTTTCCCCCTTCAATGTCAAATTAATGAGGTTGTGCTATAAAGAACTCTCTGCAAGACAGGTGATAATTATTTCAGACTTATAAATTTTCAGACCAATGCTTCAACTCTGATGGAGAGAAAGTGCAAATGAGTTGCCAGTAGCTATAGACACTGATCTTTGGATTGAATGTTTAGCAGGTTACAAGATGATGGATAAATTGCCTTCCTTGGCTTTTGCATTATTTGATAAATGTTTCAACATCAAGAAATTTTAACCTAACTACCTGCCTAAAATAACATTTTTATGGAGTACTACTCTAATTTTTATCATCTTTTCCAAATGTCAGATGAGTGGATATTTCCTGAAAATGATGATCACATTCCCCATTTGGCATCTAGTAGACAATCTCTACCTCTGGATGATGATTCCTGCGACACTTCACACTTGTGGCTGGAAGCCAGCAAGGAAAGTGAACAGGACCAACAAGGAGAGGAAACCCAGATGATTCCAAATGACATTTTCACTTTTTCATCAAGACCACGATCAGCACCACATGGAAGGACTCAGAATATGTCACCAGAGGGGCCCCCATTTCTCTTGGATCTAAAAGAAAATAACAGTGTGACAAGGAGAGACACCCAATTGGAGGATGATTTTTATGGCATTGACAGCAGCGAAGAGGTACATTGCTTGATGAGTGAAGTAGTTTTTTAAAGCACAGTTGTTCCATTAGCTCCAATAAGCAGAAAAACTAGTCAAAATGAAAGAGAGGAAATCAACTGCTATTTATAAAAATGCAACAGATTTCTATGTCAGTCAACAGTTGGATCAGGTTGTTATGGTAACTCTAAACTGCTGCCTTTTTTTTTAGTTAACAATCAGCCAATTTCATTTTTAATTATGGAAACCAGTTTGGAGGGTGTTTTTGTTTTTCCATTTTAATCTTTGTCTCACAGAATGAGAAATGATATGTAGTTTAGTTATATGATAGTACAACCAGTAAAACATTAAGAACACATTGTTCTAGGTCTCTGGGGAAATGTGTTACAGTTGCTAAGCATTCTGAATTGATGTTTTTCTGGCTTCCTTACTCCCCTGCCATCTTTTCACCTTAGACCTATTAGGACTCATTATTTTCCATATGGTTCCGAATTTCACGAGTTATGCCAATTAAAGTTTAGATAATGAATCATGAATTAGTGCTGGGATTTGGCTTACAGAAGGTTTTGTGTTTGGCATTATTTAGAATACAGTTATGTCTTATAAATTAGTAAATTCATAAAAAGTTTTTAAAAACTTATTAAAAATAGAACTGAATATAGTTTGGAAACATTTTTTAACACTTAATTCATTATAACTTTTTCACCCATATGAAATGAATTTATGTGTGAAATTTTTTTAACCTTCTTCTTAATGATAGCCATTCATATTTTCTGGAAATAGTTATTTTAAAAGCAGAATAGTGTCGAGTTTAGGATTAATAAAAATATACAAATCATTTCTATGTAGAAATAATTAGAAAATTTTTAGAAATGATAGTAATAATTAGAAAAACTATTTTTATGTGTGCTTACAAACCTTTTTTCAATAACAATAACTGATTAAGAATCTTCCTTTGGACAGTATGGTGTAGAAAAAGTCCAGAGATTCAACCTTTTGAGCCATTTGAAGATATAGTGGGATTGACAGGCAGTAATTATGTATTTTTACAACTTTTAATCAGTTTCTTTAGCAAAGTGCATAGAGAATCCTTTTTTTCACAGTAACTTTGTTTCTAAGTATGATAAAACAAATAGTCATATTAAATCTACTATACACTCCTTTAGACATAAATAGTACATTTCATGCAAGCATTTTAAATGTTATTATTGGACACATTTGTTCCTTTCACCAATAATAACATAAGCTAGAAAAACTGATGAAGTGGACATTTGCCTTCAGTACCTGGTAATATTCCCATCCCGGCTGTTAATTCTTCCATGGTATAATGTTATTAATTAATTCATATCATGTTATTAATGAGGTTGGGTTTATCAGCTTCCCATGTGCACAACCCCATCTTTCCTACCCAACCCAAAAGAATTACTCTAATAGTGGAAATCATGAAAAGTGGGAAACAGTAGTTCTCTGGAAAACTAAGAAGGAAGTATTTGGGGGAACTCCCCTTTAAATAACACCACATGAGGAACATACCTCTTCCATCAAGAAAGGATAAGCCTTGAGAAGAAGCAATGGACCTTAATGGGGAAATGAAGAATAACAGCTCTGAATACAGTAGAACCTCCATAGTTGACCACTTCCCTAATTACCACCTCCTTAAGTTGACTTAATCTTCATAGACCAGACATGTACCACATATATGTTTCAGTACAATAGGCCCAGTTCCTTATGATAACCAGTTTGTTACAGTGCCTTGGGTGGTCAAGTTACAGAGGTTCTACTGTATTTTAATTTGGTATCATATAATGTGCTTTCTTTTACTATAGCTACTCTACTTCTTATATCCTTTCATCATTTATCATGCAGACATATTTAGTACCAACTACATAAAAACAAATTTATCATCTATTACCCAAGCTTTCACTGGCATAGCTATCTGATCATTCCTGTGTCATGCCCATCAGGGTTACCAGTAGCATATGGCTACAGTCTATGATAGGACCATCTCATTGCTAATACCTGCCATGGCCCACCTTTAGTTATAGCCTGCTAAGAGTGGCAGCCAAAGAGAGGAACTTGCCATGTTATCAAGCACTGGGGGTTGCTGTTAGAGAGACTAATAAGATACAAACTAAGATATAAAAATAAGACCAAAATGCTGTTATATTTAAACAAGTTCTACAATGTAATGATCTCTTCTTTGCCAAATTTGTTTTACTCTTTTTTTTTTTTTTTTGGTGATTTCTTTTTCTGTAGAATAACCTCTTCAGTTTATTAATTGTATAAAACAATGGGAAATTGGATTACATTTTTACAGTGTTTATTTACACAATTTGATGAAAACTCAGTTTAGTTAATTGAGGCTTCCTTATTGTTCATTGCATTATTTTAGAATATTACATTCATATCGTTAATAACCATATTTAAGGAAAACATAATGTCATATTCTAAACAAAGGTGGAAAAATGAGTAATTATATAACTTACTATGTGTGAATTTCATAACTTTTAATTAAAAGACTTTATTTCATGTTAGACTGTTGAGTTTTTGTTTTGTTTTGTTTTGGTTTTGGCATTTTTTTGCAGTTTTTTGCCGGAGCCAGGTTTGAACCCACCACCTCCAGTAGATGGGGCCAGCGCCCTACTCCTTTCAGCCACAGGTGTCACCCTGTTGAGTTTTTTTTTAAGGGAAATTAGGTATATTCAGTGGCATATAAACTAGGCAAATTCAAATCATATTATAGTATTATAGAAGAAAAGTATACTGGTAAAGGCTAATTAAAATAAGCTTTCAATGTGTTATCTTTGTTGTTTTTAATTTCAAACTATTAAAGGGGTACAAATGTTTTTGATTTTATGAATCACTTTTATTATGCTTGAGTCATGGCTATAGGTGTGTCCATCACCCAAATAGGGTTAATTGTACCCATTAGACAGGATTTTACCCTTTGTCACCACCTCTCTCTCCCCTGCTTGATTTCCACTGAATTTTATATCCCTCTGCGCTAATCAGTTCTAATTTAATAATGAGTACATGTGGTATTTGGTTTTCCATTCTTAAGATACTTCACTTAGGAGAATGGTCTCCAGTTCCATCAAATTGTTTCAAAAAGCCTTAAGCCATCCTTTTTATGGCTGAATAGTACTCTATGATATATGCATGTATACATTTTATGAATTCATGAACTGACAGGCACTTAAGTTGATTCTAGATTTTTGTAATTGTGAATTATGCTGCAATAAACATTTGAGTGTGTCTTTTTGACAGAAAGACTTTTTTTCCTTGAGTAGATACCCAGTAGTGTGATTGTTGGATAGAATGGTAAGTCTACTTTTAGTTCCTTGAGAAATCTCCATGTTGTTTTCCATACACATTGTACTAATTTTTAGTCCCACCAATAGATACACATTCCTTTCTCTCTAAGCATCTATTGTTTTGGAGGTTTAATTGAAAATAAAAACCATTCAAACAAGGGTCAGGTGATATCTTATCATGGTTTTAATTTGTATTTCCCTGGTGATTAGTGACATTGAGCATTTCTCATGTTTATTGGCCAATTGTCTTTCACTTTTGAAATGTTTCTGGTTGTGTCTCTTGCCCACCCACCTTTTGATGGGGTGTTTGTTCTTTTCTTGCTGATTTGCTTGAGTTCTTTGTAGAATTTGGTTATTAGTCCTTTACTGGATGTATAGGTTATGGATATTTTCTCCTGTTCTATAGGTTGTATATTTGCTCTGATGATTATTTCCTGGGCTGTGCAGAATCTTTTAGTTTAATCAAATTCCATTTATTTATTTGTGTTGTTGTCCTTGGGGTCTTATTTAAATTCTTTGCCAAGCCAATATGTAGAAGAGTTTTTTCTACCTTTTCCTCTAGAATTCTTGTGGTTTCATGTCTTACATTTAAGACTTTTATCCATCTTGAATTAATTTTTATGAGTGGTGAGAGATAGGAATCCTATTTCATTCTTCTACATGTGGCCATCCAGTTTTCCCAGCACCATTATTGAATAGGACTTCTTTTCCCCAGTGTACTTTATTGACTGTTCTGTCAAACATCAGTTGGCTGTAGGTAGGTGGTTTTATATCTGGATTCTCTATTTTGTTCCATTGGTCTGTGTCTATTTTTGTATTAATACATTCTGTTTTGATTACTATAGCCTTGTAGTATAGTTTGAAGTCTGATAATATCATGCCTCCAGATTTGTTCTTTTGGTTTGGTTTGCTTTGCTTTGCTTAAGGTTGATTTAGCTATTTGAGACTCTCTGGTTCCAAAGGAAGCACAGAATTATTTTTTTCTGAATTTGTGAAGTATTATGTTGGTATTTTGATGGAAATTGCATTGAATTCATAAATTACTTTAGGTAGCATGGACATTTTAACAAAGTTAATTGAATCAATCTATAAACATGATATGTTTTTTCATTTGTTTGTGTCATCTGTAATTTCTTTCCTCACTGTTTCAGGGTTCTTTTTGTAGAGATCTTTCACTTCCTTGGATAAATATATGCCTAGGTATTTTATTTTCTTTGTAGCTGTTGTGAATGGAATTGAGTCTTTAATTTGACTCTCAGCTTGACTGTTATTGGTATATAGAAATGCTACTGATTTATGTATGTATATTTTCTATCCTGAGATTTTGCTGAATTTCTTTATCAATTTCAGGAGGGTCTTGATGGTGTCTGGAGTTTTCTAGGTGTGAGATCATGTCATCAGTGAAGAGGAAAACTTTGACCCCTTCTTTCCCAATTTGTATACTGTTTATGTCTTTATCTTGCCTGATTGCTCTGGCTATGACTCCAACACTATGTTGAATAGTAGTGGTAACCCTTGTCTTATTCCAGTTCTTACTGGGAATGTTTTCAACTTTTCCCCTTCTAGCATGATGATGGTTGTGAGTTGTCATACATGGCTTTTATAATTTGGGGAAATGTTCCTTCTATGTCTAGTTTGTTGAGAGTTTTTATCAAGAAATGGTGCTGGATTTTGTTGAAAGTTTTTTCTGCCTCTACTAAGATTATC